CTAGTGTTGTATTTGGCCTACTCTTCCACGTCATCGTCTTACTTATGATAGCGGCAGCAATATCTGTGAAAACTTCTGGACGTATGTTAAAACATTACTTAATAGCTCATCGGATTCCTCCAGTATAAATACAGATTCTGATGTTGATGTTCAGGCTCTGAATGTCGAAGTCTGGATTTCCATAACGAGAGGGCTTCAGCAGAGAGAGAGAGAGGGAAAGAGAGTTCGTGTAGCTTCACCTCCGCTTAGAATAAAAATGAGAGCTTATGCGGACATCTTACAATGCACCACCACAACCACCACCACCAAACAACACGATCATCAGCAGCAGTAGCAGCAGCAGTAGCATCAGCAGCCAACACGGCTCGCGGGTCAACTCCGTAAAAATATCGCAATGGTCGAAATGGGTGTCGGGGGGGGGGGACGAGAGGCGACGGTGATTCATTGGGGGTCCTCATGACCACGTTGGAAAAAAATAAAACACTCTCTGGCTTTGTATTATTTCCACACGGCAATGACAAATACCCCCCCCCCCCTCCTCCGTGTAGCATTAACAGACTGTAGGGCCAAGTGCTGTTAGCGAGTTGCACCTATAAAGGCCGGCACGGCACACGAATGAGGTGGGTGGCCAGCACCACGCCCGGCCGCCTTTGTCTCTCCTGTGGCGATGTTTACTACACACCGCACCGGGAACTCGTTTGAGGCTGAGTGGACGCGTGGGGGTTTAACCCCAGCGGGAAACGACTCCGGAATGAACAGTGACCTGCGGCCCCTGCTGCTACTGCTGCAACTCACTGCTCCTTCTGCTGCTACTGCTGCTGTTACTACTGCTGCTATTACTGCTGCTTCTACTGCTGCTGATATTACTGCTGCTGCTATTGCTGCTGCTGATGCTTCTACTGCTGCTGCTATTTCTGCTGCTGCTATTTCTGCTGCTGCTTCTACTGCTGCTGATATTACTGCTGCTTCTACTGCTGCTGCTATTTCTGCTGCTGCTTCTACTACTGCTTCTATTGCTGCTGATGCTTCTACTGCTGCTGCTATTACTACTGCTTCTTCTGCTACTGCTACTATATTACTACTGCAGCAATCTATTGTTGCTACTACTGCTGATGCTTCTACTGCTGCTGCTGCTATTACTGCTGCTTCTACTGCTTCTGCTATTTCTGTTGCTGCTTCTATTGCTGCTACTACTGCTGATGCTGCTGATGTTGCTGCTGCTGCAACTACTACTGATGCTGCTGATGTTGTTGCTGCTGCTACTGCTGATGCTGCTGATGTTGCTGCTGCTGCTACTACTGCTGATGCTGCTGATGTTGCTGCTGCTACTACTGCTGCTGATGCTGCTGCTGATGTTGCTGATGTTGCTGCTGCTGCTACTACTGCTGATGCTGCTGATGTTGCTGCTGCTACTACTGCTGATGCTGATGCTGCTGATGTTGCTGCTGCTGCTACTGCTGCTGCTGGCTGCTGCAAACTACTGCCGCTGCTGCTGTTGCTGCTACTACTGCTGCTGATGCTGCTGATGCTGCTGCTACTGTTGCTGCTGGCTGCTGCTGCGAGCTGCTGCTGCTGCTGCGAGCGTGCCTATTTGTTTCGCAACCAAGCCCCGACCGCAACCGGCGACTCGACAACATCTTCCGGGCCGCGTTGGCGGAAGGCGCGAGAGGCCACGGGGGGCCACGGGGGGCCAAGGGGGGCCACGGGGGGCCACGGGGGACCACGGGGGGGCCACGGGGGGCCAAGGGGGGCCACGGGGGGCCACGGGGGGCCACGCAGAGGATCGGCGCCGGAAGCTTCACTGGCTCCCTGGCAGCGTCCCCCGAGAGCCGGCCACACGGCGGCGTCGTCTCGACGACTTTCGATGCGCGGAGCGTCATTTGTGACGACCCGATCGATGTGCCATCGTCTCCTCCGTGTCACTCTTCTGTCGCTACTACTACTACTACTACCGTTACCATGGTTACTGTACCCCCCTCTCGCTTCACCCCCCCCCCCTGATTATTCCTCCGTCACCCGTGGTGAGGGTTCAGTGAGTACCAGGCACGGACCGTTTCGTCTCATCCACCACCACCACCACCAACAACCATCACCACCACACTGCAGTTTACAACAACTCACCCACTCGATTCATCCACTCACTCACCCACCCACGTAGCTTCCCCCCCGCACCACCGATTAGCACGGTTGGTTACGTACGGTGCGAAAGAAGTTCCAACACATTACATACACGCTGCGCGCTAACCGCTGCGCCACCGCTCCCTGCACTAATGCACACACGCGCGTGCACGCACTCACTCGAGAGTAAACATCCATTCAAACACTATCGAATATACACTCACATACGCATTCACACACATACACACACGAGATAGACAAACCCCCCGTATAGCCATACCCCCCCCCACCCCCTATAACATACATACATTACCAACCCATTCACTCACCCACCCACTCACCCACCCACCCACTCACCCACTCATCCACCCATTCACTCACCCACTCACCCACTCACCCACCCACCCATATCACCCACCCACTCACCCACCCACTCACCACACGCATCCACTCACTCACCCACCCACTCACCCACCCACCCACTCACTCACCCACTCACCCACTCACCCACTCACCCACTCACCCACCCACTCACCACACTGCGGGTCACAGCACTTCTCTCCCTGTCTGCTTCCTCCCTCGCACCGCACTCACCGCAGCAGCAACAGCACCTCATTCTGGCGATGCTGCTGTTGATCCTGTTGCTAGTGCTGCTGCTGCTTCTGCTGCTATTGCTCTTGCTGCTGTTCCTAGTGCTGCTGTTGCTCCTGCCTCAGCTGCTGTTGCTGCTGCTGCTGTGGTGACCTCTCCCCCGAAGCCCTGTCACCGTGGCTGGCAGACCTTGACACTGGCATGGAGACAGCGGTGGTCAGTGTTCGTTTGTTGAGTCGTTGAGTCAGCTGGCCAGGATCGGGGCAGGGACACAGATCCACTTTTCATGGCAGGTTACGCAGGCTGCCCAGATCAAGTCCACGCACATACCGTCTTCATCGTTATTTCATTCTTATTATAACATCAGGAACAGTGGTCACTGAGCCCCAGGACTCTATTTTCCGGAGGGTCCTGCCAAGATTTCGCAGTGAGTGGTAACGGTTGCTTTGCGTGTGACCTCCATCGGGTCAGAAACATCGGATACGTTTTTAAAATAAGGCACACGTGGTCCCGTGATGTCACCCCACATGGCTCACAACTCTCTCACAACTCTCTCGTCTCCTCCTCTCTCCTCTCTCTCACCCAAAAATAATAATACTGGTAGGAACCTCCTGGTTACACCAGCCCACAGGGGGTTATTGTGTCCGTCCGTCGTGCAGGGAGGGGCTGGGTGGGGAGGGAGGGGCTGGGTGGGAAGGGGAGGGTGGGGAGGAGCTGGGTGGGGAGGGTGGGGCTGGGTGGGGAGGGTGGAGACGGGCTGGATGGGGAGGGTGGGGAGGGGCTGGGTGGGGAGGGTGGGGCTGGGTGGGAAGGGTGGAGACCGGCTGGGTGGGGCTGGGTGGGGAGGGGCTTGGTGGGGAGGGTGGGGCTGGGTGGGGGGTGGGAAGGCTGGGGCTGGTTGGGGAGGGGCTGGTCACTCCGCCCTCACAGTCGGGCATATTTGCGGAATACACCACGCCGCCGTTGACCCTGGCCATTGACCGAGCAACTCAACGTTCCTACCAGCTCCCTCCGTAGGAATGTGTTAATAACCATCGCGACGATTTTAATTCACGTCAATTGTGAAGCAGGCGGTCGCGTAGTGTATTCCTGTGGCCTAAGCCGACGGGGAAAATCTCGAAACCGCGAACCCTCCGCGAACGTAACGGCGGACTCGGAGCCCGCCCGCCCGCCCACTCTTGCAAGCCGTCGCCCGCCTATCGCCGCCCTTAATCTTCTCCTTAATCCTTCTCGTGACAGACGCATACATCGCCTTACGGCTTGCCTTGAATAAGCCGGCCGAAGTGTGTCAGCGCTCTTGTCCGTGGCGGCCGCGGTGGCGGCGGCGGTGGTGGTGGTGCCGCCTTACCCCAGTGCCCCCAATGTTCCCCTTCCCACCCGCCCGTAGGCACGGCGCTAGCTCCGTCTGGTGATTTGCCGCGGGTGAAACTTGCTCATTCCGTGGCCGTGCGCTCATTGGGTTGCGGCTCGTTGACGTTCAACGCCGCTGATGTTGTTTGTTTGTTTGTTTTCGCGAATGGTGTCTGTCTGCACGTGCGCACCGTTGGACTTCTTTCGCACCACGCGTAGCCAACCGTGCGAATCGGAGGCGTGCGGCGAAAGGACGTCAAACCGAACGCAAAAAGGGGTTCGAAATAAAATGAGTTTTCAATTTAGGGGCAGTGCCGGATTATCCTCGTAGCAAAAGTAGCTACATATGCTACGGGCCCCGCACTTTCAAGGGCCCCGCGCTAAATGCTTTCAAGCTATCAATTCCGGTTCAGCGATTCTGCGCTCGCTCTGCTACTATAGTACTATACTGCCTTCGAATTTTATGAACGAATGGGTGTTTAAGGTTAGCGATTTGTCGCATTATCCGGCTACATAGCAAATGAAACAATACATTTGTGTTTTAATATTTGTGTTTATTTAAATTTAGTGCCCCTTTAGAACAAATGCTACATGCCCCGCACTAGCTTAATCCGGCACTGTCCAGGGGTCGGGGTGTGAAAGTCGTGACCCCGCTGTCTAGATAGGAGGTCGCTCGCAAGGGAAACTCGGAAGCGGTTCTGCAATACCGTCTTCCGCGAGCCGTTCTCTCTCAGGTGACGCGCCGCTCTCGCCGCGTGAGAGACTCCCCGGACGGGCGGACAACTCCACGTCCACGGCGCACCAGCGTGGACGCGACTGCGGTGTGGGTGATGACGTCACAATCGTCGTCGTCGTCATCGCCGCCGCCATTGTCGCCGCGCAGAGGAGCCGGCCGTCGTGACACGTGGTCGTGACGCTTGTGCCGCTTCCGTCTGTCGCAGAGGTCGGTGCGGAGTCGGCGGCGCGCGACCGTCGACGGTCGACACCAAACTTCCGTTTCCACCGCCCCGTCGCGGGCGACCTCGTCTGCTCGCGGGGAAGTCACCCGCGTCGCCCAAGCACGCGACTTCGAAGGTGGACAATCGTTTGCGCGTTCACTCGCTCAACCGTCCCGCCACTCAGCCATCGCTCAGCCTTTGGGTAGAGTCTGGCTCCGTCTCCGGATGTCAGAACACGAGTTGGTGCCCGCGTGGCAATCGGCGGCTCTTGCTGCAAACATCGGAAACCACCCCCCGCCGCCGCCCCCCATAACACACAATCATCGTCACAATCATCATCATCATCGCTATCATCACCGTCACCACGGTCACCGTCGTCGTGATGAATCCCCGCCCCTCCCCGTGCCCCCTGCAGGAGATAGCGCGCGGCACAGCGGGGCGCGTCAGAGTGGGGGCCGGGCATGGCGGGCGAGCTGGCGCTGCTGGCGACGAGGGGGTGCGCCGCTTTGGCGACCACGGCGGCGCCCGGGCGACTCTCCCCGCTACTGGCGGCGAGCGCCCTCGCCGTTGGGGGGGGCCGCGACCCCCCTTTTCGGGGACGCGGCGGTAACGGAGAGGTGGGAGCTCTCATGCTTGCCGCCCCCCCTCCCCCCTTGTTTACTCGCGCCAGCCCCCCTTACCCCCCCCCCCCTACCCCTCCTCCCACTGCATAGCCCATGCGGTTTATTCGTATTCTTGTCCAGGGAAATGGACTTTGAAGGATGAACGTTGAGAATTATAAGGGGCACGGGGTGACCGGTAAGGTCTGAATTGGTCTGTAATAAGGTAGGCAGCACTGATGAGGGGTTGACAGGTATTATTATAGACAGAGACCCATAGAGATCCATAGAGACCCACCGAGATACATTGAGACCCGTAAAGATACATAGAGACCCACAGAGGTCCACAGAGACCCATAGAGATCCATAGAGACCCACAGAGATACATAGAGACCCACAGAGATCCATAGAGAACCACCGAGATAGATAGAGACCTATAGAGACCCATAGAGAGACATAGCCTAACTGCCAACCCATACGGTTTACCCCGTATTCCTGCACAGGGAAGTTCGTTTTCAGGTCCATATGGCGTGCAAATCTTTCGGTCGTTTTTTAACCCACTTCCCGTGATCCAATCGAGCTGACATTTTGCACACAGAGTCGTTGTGCGTGACAATTTATTTTCGTGAAAATTTTTTTCCAAAATGTTACACTTTTTAGGAATTTTTTTTCATAGTTAATTTAAAATACCAATGTGATGAAAATGAAACTCTTACTGAAGAAAAACAGAAATGAATAATAAAATAAAACCGATGCCACGCATATAAAGGATTTATAGTGAAAAACTTTGTTTTTACGGGTTAATTTTTATATATATAATAATGTGTCTTTCCTTTTAGCGCCACACGCACACACGCGCAGTGTTCTGATTGACGAACGCTTTGACTCTCATTTGTTGGCCGTGCTTGTGCCAATGCAGCAGCAACAGCATCACCACCAAATAATTTGCAACAGCGTCACCACCATCACCATCATCGCTATCCTCACCGCGGGCGTTGTGGGTTCCGCGCTGGTGACGGCCGCAGGTCCGCCGAGCGAGCGCGTGCCGGGACGAGCCGCGGCGCAGTGAGGATGGCGCCCGTCACCGGATGGGGGCCCCCGCTCCGTCCCCCGCGACTCAGCTCCGCACACCCGGGCAGATCCGCGTCACGGTACGCGGCCCGCACGGACGCACGGTAACACTCACGGCTCGCTCGCTCACTGCCCGTTCGCTCGTGCACGGTAACGATCACGCACGGTTAGGCTCACGGCTCGCTCACGCATTGACGGTAATTCTCACGGCTTGATCGATCACGCACGGTAACACTCACGGCTCGATTGCTCACGCATGGACGGTAATTCTCACGGCTCAATCGCTCACGCATGGACGGACGAACAGACGGACGGACGGTGACACACATGGCACGCTCGCTCACGAATAATGAACGGATGGACGGGTGAGTAATTTCCGGATTGGTCATTCTTCATTCATTCACGAAGGATTCCTCCGTTAAAAAAACAATCCCGCGAGTTCGCTCACCGCTCATTCAACTCACGAGTGACTCATTCAATGACCCTCGACTCGTTCATAATCGAATGAGTGAGCGAATCGCTCACTGGGTTTGCCAGTTGTAAGGGGAGGAATGACTCCACGTGACGCCGATGCTGATGACGTAGAGATGTAACGATTCACTCCTATGCCCTGAGCTATCTGATGAATGAATGAGTGAACTAAAGCTACCGCATTTCTGGTGGGCTCAAACAGAGTGGTGTGGCCAGAATCACGGGCGGGGGTAGTGTTGGCCACCCCACCCCCGCATATGCCGTGCCGACCTTAACAGATGCAACACGTTAACGGCACTTGCCCCAAAAAGTCTATGATGGTTATACGGGGAATCTTTGTCTTTGTGTGCTTGTGGCGTGCGACCAGCAGCTTCCAGCCATACCTTCGGCTCCCGTGTCCAGGACTCTCACGAGGTCCTACCACCACCACCATCACCACAACAACCTCAACCACCACCACAACCACCAGCAGCAGCAAGCGAGTTGGTACCAGCAGCAGGCGAGTTGGTACCAGCAGTCGAGGTGGTACCAGCAAGAGTCGCTGCGAGGGCTCACGACGGAGGACGTGGGCAAGGCGCGGCAATCCAAGTGCCAGCAGACGGTCATGGTGAGTGGGGCATGCAGGGAGATGGGGCCTCGGGAGAGGGGGACATCCTGGGGTCTGTCTGGGAGGCGTGAGGGGCGACATCAAACCCACGACCTCCTGCCTACCAGGCGAGGTAGTTAACATCTCGCCCCCGCGTCTCGTGTCGCACACAGCAGCAGCTGAGCGAGCGGGCGCGGGAGAGCAAGGTGCCCACCGGACGACTCAGCCGCATGGTCAACTTTGGTGGTGAGAACTCGCTCACTCACTCTCTCATCTCACTCGCTCACTCATCTCACTCGCTCACTCTATCATCTCACTCATTCACCCCTCTCACTCATCTCACTCACTCACTCGCTCACTCATTCACTCCTCTTACTCCTCTCACTCACTCACTCACTCTCTCATCTCACTCACTCTCTCATCTGACTCACTCACTTACTCATTCACTCCTCTTACTCCTCTCACTCGCTCACTCACTCTCTCATCTCACTCACTCATCTCACTCACTCTCTCATCTCACTCGCTCGCTCACTCACTCATCTCACTCACTCTCTCATCTCACTCGCTCACTCTATCATCTCACTCATTCACCCCTCTCACTCACCCCTCTCACTCGTCTCACTCACTCGCTCACTCATTCACTCCTCTTACTCACTCATCTCACTCACTCTCTCATCTCACTCATTCACCCCTCTCACTCATCTCACGCACTCACTCGCTCACTCATTCACTCCTCTTACTCCTCTCACTCACTCACTCACTCTCTCATCTCACTCACTCTCTCATCTGACTCACTCACTTACTCATTCACTCCTCTTACTCCTCTCACTCGCTCACTCACTCTCTCATCTCACTCACTCATCTCACTCACTCTCTCATCTCACTCGCTCGCTCACTCACTCATCTCACTCACTCTCTCATTTCACTCGCTCACTCTATCATCTCACTCATTCACCCCTCTCACTCACCCCTCTCACTCATCTCACTCACTCGCTCACTCATTCACTCCTCTTACTCACTCATCTCACTCACTCTCTCATCTCACTCGCTCGCTCACTCATTCACTCCTCTTACTCCTCTCACTCACTCACTCACTCACTCTCTCATCTCACTCACTCTCTCATCTGACTCACTCACTTACTCATTCACTCCTCTTACTCCTCTCACTCGCTCACTCACTCTCTCATCTCACTCACTCATCTCACTCACTCTCTCATCTCACTCGCTCGCTCACTCACTCATCTCACTCACTCTCTCATCTCACTCGCTCACTCTATCATCTCACTCATTCACCCCTCTCACTCACCCCTCTCACTCGTCTCACTCACTCGCTCACTCATTCACTCCTCTTACTCACTCATCTCACTCACTCTCTCATTTCACTCGCTCACTCTATCATCTCACTCATTCACCCCTCTCACTCACCCCTCTCACTCATCTCACTCACTCGCTCACTCATTCACTCCTCTTACTCACTCATCTCACTCACTCTCTCATCTCACTCGCTCGCTCACTCATTCACTCCTCTTACTCCTCTCACTCGCTCACTCACTCTCTCATCTCACTCACTCTCTCATCTCACTCGCTCGCTCACTCATTCACTCCTCTTACTCCTCTCACTCGCTCACTCACTCTCTCATCTCACTCACTCTCTCATCTCACTCGCTCACTCACCTCACTCACTCTCTCATCTCACTCACTCATTTCACTCACTCTCTCATCTCACTCGCTCACTCACTCATCTCACTCATCTCATCTCACTCGCTCACTCACTCACTCACTCTCTCATCTCACTCACTCATCTCACTCACTCTCTCATCTCACTCACTCGCTCACTCATTCCCTCCTCTTACTCCTCTCACTCGCTCACTCACTCTCTCATCTCACTCACTCATCTCACTCACTCTCTCATCTCACTCGCTCGCTCACTCATTCACCCCTCTCACTCCTCTCACACGCTCCCTCACTCCCCTTACTCGCTGCAGCTGCTCACTCACTTACTTCCTCTCATTCACTGCCTCATTCATTCACTGACTCGCTAATTAATTGACCACCTTTCTTATTCACTCATTCATGAATTCACTCAACTACCCCCTTCCTCATTGACCACCTCCCTCGTTCATTCATTGACCACCTCCCTCGTTCACTGAATCATTCATTCACTCTCACTCGTTCACTGTCTCTCACATTCACTCTTTTACTCCCCCCACCTCGTATTCACTACCTCACTCACTAATTGACTCACTCAGTAATTGTGTTGATGGTTATGATAAATTTGATGATGGTGATTGTTGTGGTAATAACGGTGAATTGTCGTTGTGACGATGACGGTGGCGGTGTTGGCAGTTGTGATAATGATCATGGTAGTCGTTTTGATGGTTGCGGTTGTGGTGGTTTCAGTTATGGTGGCTGTGATGGTTGTGGTTGTTGTGATGGTTGGGATGGTTGTGGTGGTTGTGACGGTTGCGGTTGTGGCGGTTGTGACTGTTGCGGTGGTTGTGGTGGTTGTGATGGTTGTGGTGGTTGTGACGGTTGCGGTTGTGGTGGTTGTGACTGTTGCGGTGGTTGTGATGGTTGTGGTGGTTGTGACGGATGCGGTTGTGGTGGTTGTGACGGTTGCGGTGGTTGTGATGGTTGTCGCGGTTGTCATGGCTACGGTCGTGATGGTTGTGGTTGTGACGTTGCAGGCCTCGCGGTGGGCCTGGGCCTGGGCGCGCTGGCCGAAGTGGCCCGCAAGCAGCTGGGCATGGACAAGGTGCCTCCGGGTGAGTCACGTGGGCCCACAGGGGCCCGGGGGGAGGGGGGGCAGGGGGGGTGGCGAGGGAGGGGGGGGCAGGCAATGGGGGGGGGGGGTGGTGGGATTGGGGGGGGGTCATTCAACCCTTAGCCCCAGGAGCCACGACAACGACGCTACCGCGCCTCCGAGCGAGCGAGTGGGTTCACCCCTCTTGAAAGTCATCCAAGACAGAGGCGGTGGCTCGCGGGGGGGGGGGGGGGCAGCGTTGTGCCGCTGCTGTTCTTCACGACACCGGAGCCCGCGGGGTGAGGTGGTGGGGGGGGGGTCGCAGCTATCCACGTGGCGGGGGTCTGGGGGGGGGTGACTTTGAACAAAGTGGTGGGATGGTGTTGTTTTCGTGTTGGTTTATTTTAGCTCTCCCGCTCTCTCTCTCTCTGGCTCCCTCTGTCTGCGTGCTCGCTGCCCCACGTTTCCCCTGCACCCGGGTGTCGTCGAGGCATTTGTCGCTGCTGCTGCCGCTGCTGCTGCCACTGCTGCTGCTACTGCTGCTGCCACTGCCACCGCTGCTGCTGCCACTGCCACTGCTGCCACTGCTGCCACTGCTGCTGCCACTACCGCTGCTGCCACTGCTGCTGCCACTGCCACCGCTGCTACTGCTGCCACTGCTGCTGCCACTGCTACTTCTGCCACTGCTGCTGCTGCCGCCGCCGCCGCTGCTGTTGTTTGTTTTCGTTTTTGCAGCGGCAAGAATGTTGGAGGCCATCTGTCACCTGTCTCACGCTGCGCTTGTGCGGAGGTGTGCTGGCTAACAGCACTTGCCCCAGCAGTCTGTTAAGGCTATATGGGGAACCTTTGTCTCTCTCTCTCTCTGTGTATGGGGAGTGGCGATTGTGAAGCGCTGCTGGTTGTTCACACGCAGCGCTACAAACCCATGGCAAAACATAACTAATTTGCTGTGTCGGTGGTGGCGGGTTTAACGACACATTGAGATATTTACACGATTTAACCCAGAAAAACCTGTGTTATGGATATTGGTCGCGAAAGCCTACGTGTTCTCCTGAATTTATAATCAAACGCTGGGGGTGGAAGGGGGAGGGCAGGTGCGTCTTATAATCCGATAGCTGTGTGTGCGTGACCAGATTTGTATAACTTTATTGCTTACCTGTCAACCCCTTATCAGTGCCCTACCTTATTACAGATCAAATTCAGACCTTATTGGTCATCCCGTGCCCTTATAAATGCCAACGTTCATCCTACAAAGTTCTATCACAAGGAGAGAAACACAAACGAATATACAAATGTTTTTGTTGTTGCCCGTATCGATCCGGTTGCATGCCGCATGGACCTGAAAACTCAATTTCCCTGTACAAGAATACGGGTAAACCTCGTGGGTCGCCATCTTTGTTATTGACACGGGGGGAGGGGGACGGTGCACTGTCTTACTGCCCGGGGCACCCATGAATTAATCAGTGGCCATGGTCAATCCACTGCTAGATGATGGCATCCGCAAGAGCCGTCGCCGACCTATCGATAATAACCCACCCGGCACCCGCACATGAACTGATTTGATCATATTCTTAGGTTTTGATCGCTCCGTCTCCCCGGGTTGAACGTTCTCCCCGGACGTGTCGCGTTCCTTGGCTGCAGCTCCGCTCTCGTTCTCGACCAGAGCACGTGGCCGCGTCATCGTCTGGCGCAGCGAGAGGCTGTGGGGGGGGGAGCGGGGGTCACGTGACGGTCATTGTGACGTCACGCCAACGGGCATCGCCGCTCGGCAATCGAACCCCTCCTGTCACCTCTCACCTCCCACGCACCACCAACTCAACCACCCACCCCACTCACCCACCCACCCCACTCACCTCGCTACCCCCCCGTCTAACCTCACACCCACCCACCAACCCATCCACCCACCTCATCACCCACCCACCTCACCACACACACACACCTCACCACACACACACACCTCACCACACACACACAGGATACGAAACCACTTCAGCGCAGCCCGACTGGGGCGATCCACTGTTGGACGAGAGCCGAAGACCTCCCTACGACCTTCACGGCACGGGGGGGGGGGTGGGCGGGGGGGGAGCCTTCATCTAGCAGTGGATCAGCCTTCTGTTTGAATTGCCGTGGTTCCGGATCGCTGTTCCCCCGGGGGCGGTGGTGGTGGTGGTAGTGGTGGTGGTAGTGGTGGGGGTGGTGGTGGTAGTGGTGGTGGTGGTAGTGGTGGGGGTGGTGGTGGTGGTAGTGGTGGTGGTAGTGGTGGGGGTGGTGGTGGTAGTGGTGGTGGTGGTAGTGGTGGGGGTGGTGGTAGTGGTGGTGGTAGTGGTGGGGGTGGTGGTGGTGGTAGTGGGGGTGGTGGTGGTAGTGGTGGGGGTAGTGGTGGTGGTGGTGGGGGTGGTGGTGGTGGTGGGGGTGGTGGTGGTGGTAGTGGGGGTGGTGGTGGTGGGGGTGGTGGTGGTGGTAGTGGTGGTGGGGGTGGTGGTGGTGGTAGTGGTGGGGGTGGTGGTGGTGGTAGTGGTGGTGGTGGTAGTGCGGGTGGTGGTGGTGGTGGTGTTTGTTTTGCATCTCGTCTCTCGTCGCGCTCGGATAGTGGCCGCGGCTTGGCTAATGCGGCGAGAGCTGATTGGGATTCCCTTCCCGGGTCTGCGCGCACGCACACTCAGCAGCGCTAAGCCCTGGAATCATCATCAGCATCATCATCAGCAGCAGCAGCATACCGCTGCTGTCTGTGCCCATCCACATGTGTGTGTGTGTCCATCCACGTGTGTGTGTGTGTCCATCCACGTGTGTGTGTGTGTGTGTCTATCCACGTGTGTGTGTGTCCATCCACGTGTGTGTGTGTCTGTGCCCATCCACGTGTGTGTGTGTGTCCATCCACGTGTGTGTGTGTGTGTCTGTGCCCATCCACATGTGTCTGTGTTCATCCACGTGTGTGTCTGTGTGTCCATCCACGTGTGTGTCTGTGTGTCCATCCACGTGTGTGTGTGTGTCCATCCACGTGTGTGTGTGTGTGTCTGTGCCCATCCACATGTGTCTGTGTTCATCCACGTGTGTGTCTGTGTGTCCATCCACGTGTGTGTCTGTGTGTCCATCCACGTGTGTGTGTCTGTGCCCATCCACGTGCGTGTGTGTCCATCCATGTGTGTGTGTGTGTCCATCCACGTGTGTCTGTGTCCATCCACATGTGTGTGTGTGTGTGTCCATCCACGTGTGTGTGTGTGTGTCCATCCACGTATGTGTGTGTCCATCCACGTGTGTGTGTCCATCCACGTGTGTTGTGTGTCCATCCACGTGTGTCTGTGTGTCCATCCACGTGTGTGTGTGTCCATCCACGTGTGTGTGTCCATCCACGTGTGTGTGTGTCCATCCACGTGTGTGCCTGTGTGTCCATCCACGTGTGTGTGTCCATCCACGTGTGTGTGTGTCCATCCACGTGTCTGTGTGTCCATCCATGTGTGTGTGTGTCCATCCACGTGTGTGTGTGTCCATCCACGTGTGTGTGTGTGTCTATCCACGTGTGTGTGTCTATCCACGTGTGTGTGTGTCTATCCACGTGTGTGTGTCCATCCACATGTGTGTGTCTGTGTGTCCATCCACGTGTGTGTGTCTATCCACGTGTGTGTGTGTCTATCCACGTGTGTGTGTCCATCCACGTGTGTGTGTGTGTGTGCCCACCCACGTGTGCGTGTCCATCCACGTGTGTGTCTGTGTCAATCCACGTGTGTCTGTGTTTGCGCGTCAGTGTAGTGGTGAGCGCTACGCTGCGCTTCGAGCCCGGCGACCCGAGTTCGATTCACGCTCACGGCCAACAGGAACGACAATTATTTGAACCGGTCCTGGGCCTCCCCTAGGTCGACCCAGCCTCAAATGAGTACCTGGTGTAGCGGTGTAGTAAACATCGCCACTAGGGCGACAAAGGCGGCCGGGCGTGGTGCTGGCCACCCACCCCCTCGTGTGCCGTGCGGGCCTTCATAGGTGCTCGCTAACAGCACTTGTCCCAAAATTATGTTAAAGGCTATACGGGGGACATTTGTCTTTGTGTATGAACCCCCGTATCTCCTCGTTCCTGTTTAATGCCATCCCCAGTCACGTCGCACCGGATTAACCTGGGTGGGAGTAGACGCATCTGGTGGTGGTGGGGGTAATGGTGGTGGTGGGGGTGGTGGTGGTAGTGGTGGGGGTGGTGGTGGTAGTGGTGGGGGTGGTGGTGGTGGCGGTGGTGGTGGTGGTAGTGGTGGTAGTGGTGGGGGTGGTGGTGGTAGTGGTGGGGGTGGTGGTGGTAGTGGTGGTGGTGGTAGTGGTAGTGGTGGGGGTGGTGGTGGTAGTGGTTGTAGTGGTGGTGGTAGTGGTGGTGATGGTAGTGGTGGGGGTGGTGGTGGTAGTGGTGGGGGTGGTGGTGGTAGTGGTGGTTGTGGCGCAATGTTTAGCGCGCTGTGCTACGAACCCAGGCACCCAAGTTCGCTCACGACCGACACCAAATGACGATTATCTGAACCGTTCCTGGGTCTCCCCTAGGTCGACTCGGCCTCAAACGAGTACCTCGTGCGGTGTGTAAACATCGCCACTGGGGGGGTGGGGGGAGAGACAAAGGCGGCCGGGCGTGGTGCTGGCCACCCGCCCCCTCGTGTGCCGTTCCGGCCTTCTTCGGTGGTGCTCGCTAACAGCACTTGCCCCAAGAGTCTGTTAAGGCTATACGGGGGATCTTTGTCTTTGGTGGTGGGGGGAAGGAGGTGAGGGGGGAGCGAGGTGGGGGGTAGCGGGCACACACCGCCAGGGACAGGTTCAGACCCCATAAAACATCAGACGACAACAACAATCTGAGAACATACACGAGGGGGGCTGGCGGGTGGTGGTGGTGGGGGTGGTGGTGGGGGCTGGTGGAGGGCTGGTGGTGGGGGGGGGCTCGCGTCCCTCTGTGCTAAGAGGTCTCTTCTTCTTGTTGTTGTTCCGAGGCGCGTTCATTCACCCGTCCTTACGACAACAACAACAACAGCAGCAGCAGCATCAGCAATGGGCCATGCC